CGTAACAAACATGCACGCACACACACATAGTCCCTGAAGCTAAAATAAAATAAAATAAAAATTAGAAAAAAAAGCACATTTATTTTCTCATGTGATTACTCGGATCATGCTGTAATCTAAGCAAAATATGTAACATAACCCCAGTTTTCTTAATAAGCAGTTGGAATCCTACTAGATTAAGTGATTTACCCAAAGGAACCCAACCCAAAATAAGGAACTTGGCTCAAACCCCCACTTCACGCTCCCAGGTTCTTTCCACCGTGGCTGCCATCTCTCAAAATACAAAGTCTGAAAGATAAAGAGAGACATGTTTGATGGCAGTCAAAAAGTTAAGTGTTAAAATGAAATGTATATCATTTGATACCCCCTTGCATCTCATAGTTTCACTGGTTTCTACTTCAAGGATTCGGATAAGCTGAACTTACCAAAAATGTTCGGAACTGATTCTACTTGCAATCTGGTTTCCTTTGCCTCTTCAGTTTTAAGTCTAAACTTAGCTCTAAACAGAGATACTAATCAGCTGGTTGAGTGACTTCCTTTTGATTGGCTTTTTATATAAAACACGACTTGGTTATAGAGATATTTGGGGCATTTCCACCCCCAAATCTCTTGAACTAATTTAGTGTGAATGTTTTAAGTCTTCTGTCTGTGAATGTGCAATTCAGCAGTATGTAGAATCATGAAAAGTAAATCAGGAATTTTCATGGCAGTTTTCTGGACCGCTTGTGGCCAGTGGGCCTGTGAACAGAGTGGCCACTACAGGCATTATGCTTTCCTTGCCAAATTTATAACTATTAGTGGTTAATTTATGAAACGTGTTTCTGTAAACTCTTCAATCATTCAGACTTTTACTGGTTTTATTCATGCACCCTAGGTAGGGTTAGGTGGGAGGTAAATGGCAAAAGTATATTGGCAAGTTGTGATTGGAAGACTTTTCTAGAGTACCAAAGCAATTTGATAATAGATCTGGAGTTCAGTTGTATTAAACTCTTTTTTTTTTTTGAGTTGGAGTCTCATTCTGTCACCCATGCTGGAGTGCAGTGGCACATTCCTGGCCACCCCAGCAACGACCTGCTGGGCTCCGGCCATCCTTCCGCCTCAGTCTTCCAAGTAGCAGGAACTACAGGTGTGTGCTACTGTGCCTGGCTAATTTCTTATTTATTGTAGAGACAAGGTCCTGAAAATCTGCCCAGGCTGGTCTTGAACCCGTGGACTCAGACAATCCACTCGCCTTGGCCTCCCAAAATGCTGGGATGACAGGCTGAGCTACCGAGCCTGGCCGTATTAAATTCTTTAACAATAAAAATAGCTTTAGGCCGGATTTAATTTAAGAAGGAGATAAGTTCTCCAAAATCTTATCAGTGAATTCAAATACCAGATATTTGATTTTATTGTATTATTCAAGTTTATAAGAATGACTTTCCACTTCTCTCCTCTGCAAGAAATTGAAATACAGTTAAATTTATACCTTTTCCCTATGTCCTTCAAAAAAAGCTACTTTTAAGTGCATGTTACACAAATCATTGAAATATTTTGCTTTTCTACTATTGCAATCTTAGAAGTTAACATTATAAATGTTTATTAGCAAATAATAGATTGTTATGAAAAAGTGCAGATGACTTTTGACCTGTTGTCTAGCCAAACCGTCCCATTTACAAATCAGGGAATTAAGGTTGAGAGGTTCAAAGACGTGCACACAAGAGTGAGCTTGGCACACGCTGAGCACTGCCAGGGAGCGGGGAAGGGAGCACATAGCAACACAAAGTGTACCTGGTCCACTACCAAAGGGTGAGACGGTGAGTTAGAAGCCCAACTTCACCTGCATGCAGCCTACTTTTGTAGCAAATTCTCACTTGTACCCCACAACTCTAAAAAAAAAAATAAAGACTTGCATAGAAGTTCATGTTAGTTAGTGACTGAGTTAAGACTATAACTTAGATCACAAGACCTCATCCCATGTTTTTTCTATTCTGCTATAATGCGGAATAAACAGAAAACTTCACTATAACCCCAACAAGACGATCACCTTATTACTCTATCAGTATTGGTGGCTAATTGAGAGGAAAATTTGGGTAGGGGAACTCATAACAAAAACACTCCTGCTAGACACCCTCATGGAAATTAGAAGTGGCAACCAATCCTGATCAGAATCCTAAGTGCCCATACCATAAGAAATAACTGACGAGCTTCTGCAAAGCCAAAGAAGCCATCAAGAGAGCAGGGAGACAGCCCACAGAATGGGAAAAAAATTTGCCAGTTGTGTATCTGACAAAGGTCTAACATCTAGGATCTACAAGGAACTCAAATGCGCTGAAAGGAAAAAACAAACAGCCCCATTAAAAAGTGGGCAAAAGACATGAATAGATACTTCTCGAAAGAACAGATATGGGCAGCAACAGACACATGAAAAAGTGCTCAGCCTCACTCATTATCAGAGAAATGCAAATCAAAACCACATGGAGAGACCACCTAACCCCAGTAAGAATGACTATCATTAATAAAACAAAAGGCAGCAGATGCTGGCCAGGATGTGGAGAAAAAGGAACTCTTCTACACTGCTGCTGGTGGGAATGCAAACAAGTGCAACATCTTTGGAAGACAGTGTGGCGATTTCTGAAAGAACTAGAAATTGACCTTCCACGTGACCCAGGAATACCCCTACTGGGGATATACCCGGAGGAACTCAGATCATTCTACAAAAAAGACACCTGCACTCGCATGTTTGTTGTAGCTCTATTCACATAGCAAAAACATGGAACCAACCATGCTGCCCATCAAAGCTGGACTGGATAAAAAAGTGTGGTATGCACACACAATGCAATATTATGCAGCCATAAAGAAGGACAAACATACGGAATTTGCAACAGCTTGGATGGATTTAAAGTCGATCATACGCTGTGATCTATCACAGAAACAAAGAACAGAGTTCCATATGTTCTCACTCATAAGCGGACCTTGAACAATTATGATAATACTATAAGAAAGGGATTGATAGTGGTGGGAAACTGCCGGGGCGGGGGTGGGATTGGCAGTTGAGGGAAACTGCTAGGTTAGGGAGGGGCATACCTCATCAACAAGGGTACCTGCATAATCAACTTTTGTATACCTAACCCTGAAAATTGTACCCCACATTTTTTTTTTTTTTTTTTTGAGTTGGAGTCTCACTCTGTCACCCAGCCTGGAGTGCAGTGGCCACTCCCGGCCACCGCAGCCTCGACCTGCTGGGCTCCGGCGATCCTTCCGCCTCAGCCTTCCAAGTAGCCGGAATTACAGGCGCGTGCTACAACGCCCGGCTGATTTTTTGATTTATTGTAGAGATGAGGTCTCGCTGCCCAGGCGGGTCTCGAACCCGCGGGCTCAGGTGTACCCCACATCTTAAAAAAATAAAAAAGCTCCTGCCTCTCTCCCTGCCTTTCTGCCTCTCTCCTTCCTTCCTCTAATTCCTCCAATCTTCCCCTCCTTCTTCCTCTCTCCTCTCCTCTCTCTCTTCTTCTCTGTCATCTTCTCTCTTGCACTCCACCCTTCTCTCTCTCTCTCTTCCCTCTCTGTCCTCCTGTGTCTGTTTTGTCTTTCTCTTTCTTTTTGACTGACTGGACTTGATGGAGTCTCTTCAAATCTTTAACTTGGTTCTTGGTAACAACATCTGTCTCGCCCCACCCCATTTCATCTATTTACATACTAGTTAATTAAATTACAGAATAACAATAATAAGTGCAGCTGGCATAAACAGGCTTGGGAAGCCATAATGGACCCCTGGTAAACATCACTTAACTGTTGGAGCATTAGGGCTGGAATGTCTTGGAGAGCCTCATCCTCCTGCAAGTCCTCAGCATGGATGGGAATTGGAAGACATTTAGAGAGGAGATGACGGGCCCATGAAGAGAGCATTTACTGGACGTTATCATGACATTGCCCAAAGTGTGATTAAAATGGCTACAAAATTTTCCTGATGGTAAAAATAATGCGTTTTCAAAAATATTAAAGAAGGAAAGTAAATCTGCCACTCTGAGATTGCATGATTAGCAATTTATTATAGTTGCTTCTAGTCTTTTTGTGGTCATACACATTTTTATTTATAGATAGAGTCGTATTGGACATATAGTTTTCTGTTTGTACTTTTAATCTGTGATTTACACTATATTTCTTACATTAAATATTTTTTTCAGAATGTATATGTTTAATGATTTCACAGGATTTCATCACATAAATTGGCTGAAATTATTTACCCGAGTCCATCTCATTATATGTGCAATTAGTTCTAAGCCTTTCTCCATTTTTTTATAACCAAGGATTAATTTAATTTTAAAAACAAATACAAGTTATTGATTCACTCTTTTCAACTTGACAGTCTACTGTGGTAGAGCCGTCAGGTAAAAACATACATCTTTATAACTTGGTGGTCCCAAGTTAAAAAAAAACACACAACCATTTCACGGAAAGGAAAGGAACAATATGAAAACAGCTCAAGAAGTAACTAACGAGCAAAAATATATGGGGAAAGAGGAAAGTGTAGTTTTGACTTAACTGAAGAAACCAAGAGGAAACTGGTCTACATAAGAAAATGTGCATCCTGGAAAATCAGGTGTGAAGATTTTAGAGCAGGAATCTATACGACTTGAATCTCCCCTATTTCCTGAATAAAAATGACATCTTGCAGTATTTATTTATACTTCATGGCTCAGAGACCAACCTCACTTGGCTCAATTCCTTACTCACTCTAGCCTTTACTTAAATGAGTCTGAAAAACATGGGGATACAGCATAAGAAGAAAAATCATTTACATAATATTCCCCTTTCTGTAGCTATTTGAGACCTGGTTTGTTACTATAAAATTCCTGAAGAAAATTTAAATGTAAGTCTGTGGCATTGCTGAATCAAATCCCCCAGTTAATATTTAGAAAATACCCACCGTTGGGTTAATAGCATTGTTGGTGGGACCCATATGGCAGGACAGCCTTTGAACAAAGTCTGTGTGTCTCAAAACCAGTGTTAAATCAATCTCAGGATAGAGAGGAAAAAAAGGGAAGTCTAGAATCACAGGAATTACAGACATGTCTCGGACCCTTGTCCTTCTGGATCCACGCTTCCTTCAGGGTCTTCATCTTATAAATATTCTCTGCCATCTGCCACACTTGCATGATATTGTCTTTTGATACAGAACAAATCGCCCAAGGTTTGTTGGGATTCCAGGAGAAATCAGATATCTTGGCAGTGTGGCCACCATGAATAAACAGCAACTCTGGTGGCCCATCGTCTGGGGATTGTTCTTCTCCAATTTTACTTAAATCCCAGACATTCAGTCTGCCATCAGTACCACTGGAAGCCAAAATAGTCTCATTGTGAGGTGACCACTGAACCTGGAATATTTCATCCTTGTGTGACTCAAAGGAATGCAACTTAAGTTTCAGATTTCTCCGATCAAGGCAACAGTCTTGTCAGCTGATCCTGTGGCAAGAATGAACTCGCTATAAAGCTTGAAAGAGAGGCAGTTCGCGTCAGCAGTGTGAGCATCAACTGAGTGGCTTGGTTTGGAAGCATTGTTTGAATGAGTGTCCCAAATCATAAGCTTCTGATCATCAGCAACTGACCCAAACAGAGACTCATGGAGCGGATGCCAGGAAACCTCTTCTACAACAGCTGTATGCCCTGTAAAGATGGTCTTCGCATCCGTTACTTTTCCTTCCTTTGGAGTGGCACTGATGTCCCACGGGCAGATGGTATGGGCATCTGAAGCACTAAGTAGGTGCCCACTGAGATTTGGGTTCCAAGAAAGCCCCCGGCCTTCCTTCTGATGCCCACGAAGACGGAAATCTGGGTTGCACTCTCCGGAAGGGGCTGGTTTAGAAGGATGTTTTGTATAGTCAAAAACAAGAACATCGCTGGAGGGAGTCTTTGCTGCAGTGATGCAAGGGTCCTGGGGCAGATGACAGGCCCTGTGGACTTCTCCTTCACGGCTGATCTTGATTGCGATTTCAATTTTCCCCCTCACCGAACCCAAACCTGCAAATTCTCCTTTTTCACTGTCGTAGTGTGACGCATCAAACGGAGCATCATCATCAGGGAGTTGCACACTGGCCGCCACAAGATGTTCTGTTCATCCGACGTGTGTGTCCCCAGGACAAGTCGGTGGATGCTGAGATCTTTCCCTTCTGGTCTGGTGACGTCTGGAAGCCACTGGGCAGCCAGGCCGGGCCGCTCCAGGGCCTGGGTCAGCACCCAGTCAGCCCATATTTTGTGCTCCTCGTGGGCCACCCGTTCTTCCACTGTGCGGTCGAAGGCTGCTTCCTCGTGGGCCGCGGCGCTCGCTCAGCGCGCGCGTCCGCCGCCTTTCTCCAGGTTTATTTTATTTTACCTTCCGTGTTTTTTTGAGTGGGAGTCTCACGCCGTCGCCCAGACCGGAGGGCAGCGGCCGCCCCCGGCCCCCGCAGCCTCGACCCGCCGGGCCCCGGCGACCCTTCCGCCTCCGCCTTCCCAGGAGCTGGAACGACAGGCGCGCGCCACCACGCCCGGCTGATGTTCTGATTTCTCGCAGAGCTGAGCGCCCGGGTAGCTCAGTCGGTAGAGCCTCTCTCCGTTTTTAAAGGAGAAGTAGTATGCCACAGTGGGTCGAAACATGAACTTTAAGTCAGCTCCTGCTAACTGTAGAAAATTGTACACGGGAAGTACCTAAAAGTGTTAGCAGCCAAACACCCGGCAGGACAAGTCTGCCTAATTTTTGTGTTTTCAAGAGACTTCTGACTCTGCGTTTTCCCACCAAAGTACTTTAGGCAGTGACTGGATTTGCATTCTTCTAAATGAGTTTGACAGGAAGCAATCGATTGTCAGATGTATGATGCTAAGTCTTGTTATCAAGCATCATACTTTAATTTTCCATCTCTCTAGGCTGTTTTAGGTCCTTCCACTAAGTGCTGCAGTTTCCTTGGTATAGGTGAGGCACATTTCTTGTTGAGGTTATTTCTTGGTATTTCTATTTCTGTGATTATTGAAAAGAGAAACTTTCTTCACCGTTATGTTCTGATCAGCTAAGTTGTAAGAGAATGTCTTAATTAACTTGTTGTTTTTTAAGGTCTCTTTGACACAATCATTCATTTCAGTTGAATGTGGACTAATAAAAAGTCCACGAAGCCGGGCTCGGTGGCTCAGCCTGTCATCCCGTGCCTTTGGGAGGCTGAGGGGAGTGGATGGCCTGAGCCCGTGGGTTCGAGACCCGCCTGGGTGGCGAGACCTCATCTCTACAATCGATCCAAAAACCAGCCGGGCGTGGCAG